ACGCAGTGTCAAATCTTTAGTAGTTTTTTACTTTGCTAGTATAAGTGCATGTTATGTTTTAATTATAAAAGCAAGCGATCAAATGCGATTATAATATTACAAGAAGGTTTAAAAAGCAAATAAATTACAGAACGATACGCACGCTCGCCTCAATTCCTTTGTCTCCGCTGATGATGCTTCTGAAGAAGATGAAGACGACATGGTATAAGAACTTGAAACTGAACTAGAATTGAAAGACAATAGCAAATTAAACCATAAAATTAAAAACATTATTACGAACAATCTGATACACATATTTTTTTATCAGTTACAGTTTCAGCCACTCAACTTTTGCGATCCCGTTGACGATAGCGTTCAAATCCAGTACTTACTTAATAGTTAATCAATTATTTGTTATTAACAAACTTTACCTATTGTTTTCTGCTTGAACTATATCGTCCATCTGGAAAATTAGCCTCCGTCTTAATGGCAACGATAAATAATATTACTTTTGATGATATTGTACTTTTGTACACCATGAGGGTAGCAGGAGCAGTTTTCTTAGCACGCACCATTATCGAATTCGATCTCGGAGCTCGTCAAATGTCAAGAAGTTTAATATGGAAATTTAAACAGCGCCACAAATGGACACAAGCCCTACAGTACTTACTTTGGGGCTAGGCTAATTAGTGTGAGTGTTGAAAAAATTTATTTATGTATTTATTATATCCATACAAAACTTCTTAACATAAGGCGCTTTTCGAGATCGAATATAACTATTCGAATTCGATATTGGTTCAGCACACTTTTCAGTCACGTTAGCCACCTTCGCCACTTGACTACATTTAAATTACCCCAATTATTTGGGACCAAACAGTTGGTGCTCCTTACTCGCTCGAAGATGTATCGGTGGTCTTGAATTCGCTGCTCCCGGTAGACTCAGATGAGGTGAAGGGATTCCATTTGTGCTCCCTGTGGTGGGCATCCCCCATAGCGGCCACATTTTTCATACGGCTTATATGGTCTAAAGGAGTTGCACCATCGTAACCGCTGACTGATTATGGTAGGAATCGGAAATTAAAATAAGATTTAATTGTAGTGCATTAGAATATTGATTTTGGACGTCTCATAGAAGCAATAACGAATTTTACAGCAATGTTAATATTCTGTAAAAACTTAAGACATTAAAATTAAATGGATCATAAAAAAATAAATTGTTTGTTTTTATTGTTTTACGGGTTTGCTCTTGACCCATATCCAGTTTGAGAACAAAGATGGGAATCTTTAGTGCAGCGAGTTCACCCTAAAGGTGCCCATTCACTGTGTTTAAATGAGTAAATAATTATTATTATATAATTGTTGAAATGCTTAGGTATAGTACCTGTTTGAACTTGGAATTATAATGTGATGGAAAAACACAGTTTGAACAATAAATATCTCGAATGCAGAAAATCATAGAGTATGCATAGCCTTTCGAATATTTTATCACGAAAACGTGAAACCAAGAATCGAACGAGAGTTAAGCGAAAGCCCTTAAGACGAATGATTGCTCTTGTTTTATCATTTCCCAATCATGGGGAAGTGATTAAGTACGTCTCTCTGTGATCGTCCTCATTAAAACTTCCGAGTTTAGAGTCAAACTTTTTAAGGAAAACTCCCTACCTTGGAGATAACTTATTCATAGTGATATCAAATTACGAGTGTCTTCAGGCGTATAGAACGTTTTGCGTACCTCAATAACGGAACTGTTTACTTGTATATAACAAATCAATGAAATTACGTATTTCTATCTATGGCTCTAAGCTATAATAAATTTCATGACGACTAAGATAAGTGTACAATTAGGTTTCTATATGTAAATGTATGTGAGAATCTTATCACTATGTAACACAAATAATGTGAACCTTGTATTTTAACTCATACAAATTCATGGTTTTAATTAGGCAAGACCCTGTTTATAAACCTTTGGATTTAATTTCAGTAACTGTGACGGTTGATGCGGTGAAATTAGCATTTGTAAATTATTAGCAGCCGTAAAACGTAGCGAGAATTTCTGGAATTTCTTTATATTAATAAATAGACTAAAAGCCTTCTCCACTCTGTAAATGAACAGTTTCCTTATATGTATAAAGATATACTATCTGATTATTACAGAATTATCACAATGACATGGCTTTCAAAATATAGGCTTTAATAGTTTCTATAATGTTTGTACCTTTCACTAAATATCACTTAATTGTCTATCTATTGTAGTCTTATAATAGATTTATTGCTTTTGGTAGCGAAACTGATACCTATTATTATTTGAATTAAAATTCAGTATTTTCTCAAGCTTTTGAGAAACATTTACAAAGACATTGATAATGTCCTAAATATAAAAAACTCACTTAAAAATATACACTCATAGAATCGCGCTTCGAAACCTTATTTATTTTCATTGTATTACTGTTAATTTTATCATTATCGTAATTTTAATATCGCTTTTACTTGTTTTTTTTATTATTATTATATACATATTTATATGCAACTCCGTCTTGCAGGTCTTTTTTGTGCTTACAGTACTTTTCAATTTTTTTTTCTTTGCTTTAAAAGCACGTCTGTTTTTTTATCGTGCAGACGCTATTACTTGTTACTTATCCACGGTTTTTATAATTATCGCTCGGTACGAAGTAACGATTCTTGATATCAATGAAGAAGCTACTCATAATATAGGGCTTGAAGAAACATCAAACGAACTTCTCGATTCCCTTACCGCTGACCGCAAACAGCACGACACACCAAACCGTCATAATTATCTTCTTTCTACATCCAATAAAGTGACATTTTTTATAGTTCGCTCGCAAAAAAAGAAACCGAATAGAAAGCCATAATAACGCCGAACGTCATATTTTTTATTGCTTATTGTATTGCGAAAGTGATGTTTTTATTTTCACTGGGATACAGTGGCGAATGTTGTTTCCCTAAGTTTTTATTGACTTGAATACACCCGTGTGTGTGTCTGTCGGAAAATAAAATGCTTGTAACTTAACATATTTATTAGCTCTTGATACAGTTTAATATTCGTTTACTACTTTAGTAAGCATAAAACATCTTGTATGTTTATATCATTCAATCTTATTAAATTTTTGCTGGTGTTGCTTTGGTATCGTGAACTGTCAAAAGTTAGGAAACAATAGGGTATTTTTAACACGCTTTTATTAGATCGGCTTGTATGTAACTATGTGATAAAATCTAAGAATCTGAATTACACGCACTTTTAATTCTTGTATCATCATGAAACTTGGCAATTGTATGTAGATTAGATGACAATACAATATTGACTGGAAGGTGGCTGATGGAACAATGGAACAATTATAAAAACATAACGAAAGCTCGATTCAGAAGCCGTTGCCGTTGGAACTCACGGTAGTTTTGTGGACCTAATGATATTTTATTGTGGGTTTATAAATAGATTTTTTAGATTTTGTTTTTCAAGGCAAGGTTTTACGCTACAATAACTTGATATATAATTTATTCAGGATATAAATAATACACTCTTTCAGTGATGCTTCTTTATTAAATAATATTTAAATCACTGTTTGCTTCTCATTCTTAAAATCACAATAACGTATCCGTTTTCGTCGCCATGCCCTTATATTTGATTTGTCCGCATGTTAATCTTCAAAGTCTGGGCTAGCTGAAAAAGAGATAAAATCAATTTCGCATAAACTAAGAGATACAAAGACTTACACCGATAATACACATTTTCGAAGAAACATTAGGGTGCCAATGGGTAATGTTGCAGTTATGAGTGTGAGATAACACCTTATACTTATTATAAATAAAGTATTTCAGAATCTACACTGCCTAAATTCATAACACTAAACTGATATTTCGGCACTGTTGCGAATGCCATGATCATGGAGTAACTGAAGTAATTGCGGGTAGATGTTATTGGCAGATATATCGGTCTACCCTCTGAAGTCGTCTTTTGTTGCGTTCGTGTGGTAGTGATAGGGGTATCGCAATTACTTCAGTTACTCCGTGATCATGGCGCTTGCAATAGTGCCGAAATATCGGAGACTCATAAAAAACAAGGTACATGTAACAATCCCGTTAATAGCTATATTGTGCTGATAGTTTATTTTTCGTACATTTTCATGAAATCTTCTGCCAAATGTCCCAACTAAACTACGCAATGACAAAATTAAACGCGTCAGACAATAATGAACTTCGATGTTAGTAAATGCAAAATAAGCCAATACGAATTTGTGTACCACGTGCAGTTGTGCAGATTACAATATCGAATGAGTATTTTAGAACGATAACAATGATTATATTATTGAAGCACGGTACTTATTACTCGCACGGAGTTCCTAAGCAGAGCGAATAGAGGTCGCCACTGGAGTCTTGGTGGCAGTAGCAAGCTTGGCACGACTCGTGGTATATATCTCCTTCGTAGTTGCATTTCTCTCCTAAAGACCCATAACGCTGTCGTTAAACCCTACTAATGTACGAATTTTGGACAATAAAGTGCCAAATAGAAACTTTATTTGATTTTATCAATAATTTTCTAAAGAAGGTAAAGGAGAATATATCCAATTTTTATTAATGACGCACCATATCTTAATTTTGAACATGATTATTCATATTAAAATCAAAAAATTATAACTTAAACGATCTTCCAATAGTTTTGCCATAAGTTATTGTTACGTAATTAACAACTTCTACGACGTCATTTGCTATATAGGTTCTCGGCCAGAGAATATTACAATTGGTTCGCAAATATTGTTCGGTAACAACCAAGTGACCTTAAATATTTATAAAATTGAGGCGATAAACGTCTAAGTATGAAACTTGGAAACTAAATTTTCAAGTTGTTTGTTTACAAGGAAAATCCAATAACTTCTAAGCTGTGGGTCCCAAAGAAAGTTTGATTAAATGGAATTTGCATGAGACCCGCACGCCATCTGCTCTTGTAATATATTTTTAATTTATGTCCCAAAAGTTGTCAAGGCTCACCAAAGAATTAGGGGATACCGCTTTTTAAATATTATACCCAAATGGCGCTTAATATTTTATTTTTGCATTCCCATGCGAGCCCTTAGTAGAATATCTAAGATGTGAATCCTTGCATAGAAACATTTTAACTTACCAGATTTTATGGAAGAAGTCATAGCACCTAGAATTAAAAAAAAGAGTTAATAAATAGTATATTCATACTAAAGGAAAATATTTTAATTTGTCAGTCTACATTAAGAGATTTGAAGTGATTACTCACTTGCTTGACTTGCGGCTTGAGCTTCAGAACTCAGAGCATCGGCAAAGGAATTAATTGAAAGTGCATTAGCATCAGCTGGAGCTAACAAACTTCCTTTTACTGATGCAAAAGAATTGGCATCTGCAGAAGCTGTCGACAAGCCCGTTGGCAGTGAGTGACCGGTGTGTAAACCTTGCGTGTAAAGCGATGGGAATACTGCTTGACTTCCTTTATTATATGCAGCATTCGTAAAAGCATTGGCCTCCGCTCCGGCATTGGCCAGTGAACCCGTTTGTCCTTGCAAAGTGATTGGATAGTAACCGGGATAATTAGATTTTATATACCCAGCATTGGACAAAGCACTCGCTTCAGCTTCCGTTAGCGTTTGCGCACCACTATATCCCGGCACAGTATAGCGTCCCGGATAACTTAGTGGGGTAAGCCCAGAATTGGTTAAAGTGCTTGCTTCAGTTTCGGCAAAGGCTTGAATGTTACTCTGTCCTTTCAAAGCACCTGGATAGTTGAAAGTCGTCAGTCCAGTGTGCGCCCCAGCAATCGCATCACTACTTTGCCCTGTTACAGCGGCTGGAAAGTACCCAGGCAAACTCTGTTTATTGTATCCAGCATAAGTTGAAGATGTTGCCTCATTTTCTGGTGATCCTGAATAATAGATTGGTAAAATTGATTGGGTAGATCCAGAATTTACAGAGGCGCTGGACTCAGCTTCGGCAAGAGCCTGGGCACTGTTTAGTCCTGGAAAGTATCCCGAATTCTGTTTCGGTAAGTTACTTAGATTATACCCTGTATAGCTTGGTTTCTTATATCCATAGTTAAGTGTTTCACTTTCCGATAAAGTTTGTGCGTTACTCAGCCCATGGAGTCCTGAGTAATATCCTGCATAATCTGGTTTATATCCGTTACTGACAACTGAGCTTGCATCAGCATTAGCTAGTGCGTGTGTGCTTCCCTTTCCTGTTAGGACTGCGGGAATACCTGGATAGAACCCTGTACCTGGCGCAAAAACTACTGGGTGATTAGGATAGGGAGTTGGAAATACTGGTTGAATCTGGTTAAATCCAGAAGCGGAAGCACCAGCATCAGCTTCTGCGAAGGAATTGCCTCCCTGTATTGGAAGTCCAGTATAATAAATTTTGGGGCTAGGTAAAAATCCTGGTTGACTGGGCTGATATAAGTTGTATCCTGAGTTTGTAACAGAGCTCGCGTCGGTTTCCGCTAAAGCATTCCCTTGGCTTCCACTGAGTACAACTTTTCCATAAGATTCCGCATTGCTAGATCCATCGCCAATATAGTAAGGTAACAGTGCTGAAAAATAAAAACTTTTTATTAATATTTCATAATAATATTTTTTTACACTACTTGACTGCTAACACAACCAATATTGATAATATTGTGCATGTGATAACAATCCACGTCTCTATTACAGCGCTAAACGAATCCGATAAAAGGATATTGAGAAACCAATACAAATAAGCTCGTGCGGTCACTCAATCATTGGAGTGCCAGTTTCGTTTTCGAACTCGTTTGGATATTACGTTCGCTCACAATTGCTTCGACCTTTCGATGCTCACAACATTGAACGAAATGGCGTCCATACCTTTTAACCCTCTAGTTGCGAGCTTTTTACGTGTCAATTTTAACATGCATGTATCGTCGTAAATTTTTACTTTATTCGCTTTGGGATTTTTACGCACAGGTGTTGCCGGAATGCCAATAACAATTTTTATTTGCCACGATGGTGTCGTTGAATGTTTTGGCGAGTTAGTTTATTACTCTTGACTATATATTAGGGGTGGCAGTGGGTCGGTCAGGTGCAGTAGAAATGCCTCGTGGCTACTAGAATTCCACAAAACTATAGATGTTGAACTCGAATATTGGTGCTACACAGAATAAATGCTGTCATAAATATCATTGCAAAAACTTTTCAGTGTTTACAAACTGAATTCTGAATTGGAATATAGTTCTTTCAGATTTCATTTTATAAGCGACTCTATTTTGTACTTACGCGCATGCGGTTGTGGTTTTGCGTATTCAATACCTGCGGTTCACAAACAATTTATGAATTGTCATACAAGCGATTACAATTTTTAAATCAGCATTTATTAATTAATGCAACAGCAGTTTAGTGGGTAGATTAATTGATTTTTAAAAACGTGTGTAATGCGCTTTTTTCAAAATGTTGACTCTTATAATGTCTGTTTTTCTAGAATGTATCTTTCGTTTCTGAAGCTTAAAATTTTATAAAAGGGAACAAGACTATTATGGACTGATAAAATCAGTAACAAGAATCAGCAAAAACATTAGATTAATAATAAGAGCTAAACTACTAACAGCAATCCGGTTTACTGAAGCAGTTAATCTCGATGGTGACGCGTTGATGAGCAACGCTCTCGGTGCAAATGCAGACCTGACAATCGTCCCATGGATGCTGGAAGGGTTGCCTCGGGGTAAATGGTCGACAAGATTCATCTGCAAACAGAATTATCATATACAGTGCACACCAATATATTTTAAATGGGGCTAATAAAAATGAGAACATCTACGTCACAATTTTTTCACTTCCTCGTTTCTTGTTTGAGATTATAAAAGACTTAAAAATCTCATTTCGTACAATAAGAAGACGAATTAAAATTAAATCTCCTTGATTCGCTTAAAGTACGTAGATCCTGAAAATAGTTTTATTTGAATCAGTTATAACAACTAAAACTGATATGGTTTCACAATTGCAACAATTTTTACTTTTATTTTATTTAAGTGACTTTTTTTTATTTGACAATTGTTGAAATTCAATTTATATATTTTTCTTTCTTTAGTGTAAACTTCAGCCCATAAAAATTTATTCATGTTATGCCCACATATTTAGAGTTACAGTATGGTTTTCTATTATTGTAATTGCTTTGGTTTTTTTTTTATAATTGTAACATGTTTTGTGAGCTAATAAAAAAAAAATGCACAATTTTTGAGTTAAAGTGGAAAAAAAATAGAATAAATACCTACATTTTTTTACCGGAAATATAATCGTTGCCTGAATTCATTTGTAAAATTTCTTATGTAACTCAAAAGTCACGCTGTCTAAACAATAAACTAAAAAAACTTACGTGGTGATGGTCCAGGCAGTGGGCTGGTGGGTAACTTAGGAATAGATAGTGGGTACGGTGTGGCAACTGGCAATGGAACTAATTCAGGCAGAGTAGGCGAGATCGGATCAGGTATATGCACTGGTATCAATCCTGGGACTGGTGCAGGTATCGAATCTGGTAAAACTACAGAAAAATTAGTTATTAACATGTGCGTAATTCATTATTCTGTTATTTATCATAAGGACCTCATTTATAAAACTATATTTTAGAGATTTTTTCTACATTAGACAGTGCAAATAGTTTCTTTATTCTTTTAAGTTATGTCTAGATGTGAGGACCTGTAATTGGCTCTTTGTCGCTACTATTCATTTCTAGTATATTAAGATAAGCTGTTGGTCTTCCATGTAACCAAAATAAATAAATAAAATGAATAATGTATAAACTAAGCTAAGTAATATCTTAAAATGAAATGAAAAATTTTGGTATCGCTTTCACTTAAATAATAATTTCTCTCAAAAATCTTCTTAAATAATGTTTGTAAACTTACTCGGCGCCGGATATGGTGCAGAATTGATCGACTGTGGTTCTGAAAATGTATTGAAAACACATGAAATTTGGATAATTAATATTTTGTGTAGCAGACAAAGCAATAAATAAATACCAGACGTTTGAAACTATAAATCAATACCAAGCGTTTGGTTCATATCGCGAAATTTTTCCTGATGTCGATAATTCATTATTTCAATAGTTTCTCATTGTAATCACTTTGGTATTTTCACATTTCAATTACAAACATATAAAATTGATCACGGTTTTTACCACACATCGGATTCGGGGAGCATGTGAAATGCTTAACCGGCATTAAAGATACCGAAATGACGATACATTTGCAGACCAAGCAGGACTCAGTAGGATGTGGGAACAAAACGTCTACTGGGAACTTGTCACAAACTGGTACTGGAACAAATTAATATATCAGTGGTTAAGCTCTATTCATAAGTAAATTTGAATCTTATATAAAAAAGTGTCTTACATGGAACGGGACTAAGAACTTCTGGTACAGGAGCTGTAATAACAATGATCATTAATTTGCATTGTCTAACAATCATGAGTAGAGAGATGAACGTGCATTAACCCGTAAAAACTAGTTTTATTTAATCATGAGCCGATAAAATAAAAACAGATTAAGACAAATTATTCATCACTTAATACTTACGTAATGGCTCTGGTGGCAACACTGTAATGTCAAAGTTGAAAGGTTCATTAGTAATTACAAGAAAGGCTTACTAAGAATATATAATGAATATAATAATCATACCGCACTGTAGGTTTTCCTCGCATTCGATTTTGACATCAATATTTCCAAATGCATCAATGATCTCTCTGCAGATGCAAATCTGGCAAGGGTTCAGTGGATTTTCAAAAACTTGGTTACTTGGAAGCGGACTGCAAGATACTGAAAAATATTATTTTGAAATTAACAAAAGAAGATAACTGGTTAGTTAAACGAGCAGACAAATAGTTAGTTTATGTGATAAACAAAAAACACATACCCTCTGGTTTTGGCGGTGGTAGTGGCGGTAGAAGAGGCACAGATGGGATTGGTTCGGCTACAACAGAAGGAGGTTGAGGAGGCAGGGGTGGCAAATGTTTTAAAGGTTTCGAGCATCCACTACAGCTGGCACAGACTGGGCTCAAGTCTTGCAGGCACACGCACACCATGCAGTCAAAGTCCACTGTCCAGACGTGGTGTAATTCACCGTCAAATCTACAGTTAATATCTGGACCGTCTGTAACCGCCATATGATATTGAAAAACGATTTCGAGTGACTTTATCACAATAAGGAAACCCAAAAACTAGTAAAATTGATCATTAATTTACCTGTGAATTGATGTGGCCTTATGTATTCATTGCTTGGAATCGGTCTCCAGAAGAACTCTAAAAATGGAATAAGAATTTATTTCGTCTCAATTTTGTTTTTATAATAAAATATAGAAAAAGCTACCAACTTGATCCAATATGAGGCATTGATTGTCCATTAGCTGTTTGTCCTCCCAAATCTAAATATGCTTCATCGTAAAGTACACGTGACGGTAAATATCCTGAGAAACTTCCCAGGTTATAGCCATTCGTCCTTTGAGCGTTAGCTACAGCTTGAGACCCTGCTTCATAAGGAGCTTGAGTATGAACATGAGAGTTAGATAAAGCTTGAGCCAAGCTTGCTGCTTGAGCAGCAGACTGAGCAAGAGATTGTGCCTGAGCATTAGACTGGCCAAGATATATTTTTTGAGCTTCTAATGGAACTTTCACTCCAGAACCAGAAAAAGTGTCAGATTGAGCTCCTGAAAAAGCTTCGGCCAAAGCTTGGGCATTGCTGAAAGAATTCGTTCCTGTTCCTAAATTTACTAGGTTTCCTCCAGGTCCATTAAATGGTTGGTTGTAAGGACCATATGCGCCACTATCAGAGAACGCTTTGGAGTTGGCAAGCGCAGCACTTGATACCAAAGAATTGGAACCAAGAGTCGGGCCATAAATTGGTGTATTACTTGATGCTGATGCTTGTGCGTTTGAATTCGCAAAATTAGAATCCAGGAGATAATTTGAATAACCAGAATTGTTTGGTTCTGCTATGGCACTCGGGTCTGCTGACCGATTCACGCTCTCTTCTAAATTTTGCCCATTATTGGCGGATAACACTGGAGATAGGAGGTACAGCACGGAGAATACCCCCCACAACACAACCTTCATGATGAGTCACTTTCCCACTAATTAAACATATATTAATATTTGGTTATGTTCTTGTATAACTAAACTGGAGTGAATGAAAGTGTTTCATGTGGAGGAGTTTTTATAGGAGATACGAGATTGGCATGAAAATCGGTGATTATGATTTATTGAAACAATTTACTAATTAATTTCGAACGCCTTGTCATTTAATTTGCTTTGCTGTTATTCACGGCATTTTCGGTTTGATTGATTGAATTGGTACCAGATAAGCAAATAATAAATATTAGTCAATGTCCTGCATCACATACTAGGAATATAATACCTAATAGCTATAACTTAGATAAACAATAATAAACTTACAAAACTCAACCCTTTCATTATTACTTTAAATAAATATTAGTGGTATGGTGTCTAACATTTTAAACCTTTCACCATTTCACCGAAAACTGTATCTGAATTGGTTCAACCATTTTGGAGAATATCTCATCGTAAAAACTTATATACATTTTCCGCCCCCGTACCGTAAAATTACCATAGTGAGAGATAAATACAATTTAAAACTACCATAGATGGAAGGGAAACTATTATTAGAAACTACCATAGAAAAACAGCCATGGAAGGGAGATACCTACCATAGGAGAATACCAACAAAAACTACCATGGATAGACGAAAAATCCCATGGGCGAAAAGCTACCATAGTGGGAGAACCTTTAAAAATTAACTAAAGTTGTCCGCCAATATGGCATTATCAATAGATTAATGTAACAATTCCCTGACTTTTTCTTTTTTTTTTAAGTGAAAATGATTTTTAAAAGGTACGATTTTTTGACGCCGAGTTTATATGTACAATAATATGTGTATCCTATCCGTTACCCTAGTAACCCATAACACAAGCCAGTGGTCTCGAACGAATTTCGACATTTCTACCGATTTTTCTAAGATTTCACAGTATACATAGAAATTCTCCCGATTTTTCTACCGATTTCACACTTTTAAGTTGGCAACCCTTTTCATTTATGTTTAATGTTATTAGGAAGCCCTCAATACTAGTGCAGAATATAATTCATATGTTTTGGGGAATACCCTTGTGTCCTACGATTCGAAGTTATAAGGGGCTTCCCGCTCGGGAATTCTGTCTAGTCTATATAAACAGGAATTCGGTTTTATTTTTTTCATTAATTTTCTTTGTTTCTTAGATTTTCATGCACATCACTCGTTAAATAAAACACGTTTCAACGGGTAAGATGTACCTATTTTATTTGCTTATTGACGTTTCGCAGCCTATTCAGGTCAGCGTCGTAAAATTATTATTATTATTAAATTTTCTTAACTTTGAAGAGAGAGTACCTAACCAAAAGAGTGCCTACAAAATCAGATAATTAAGTTAAAATGTCATCTGACGAGGAGCCAAGCACAAGTACGAGTTTAAGAAGAAAAAAATATCTACAATATTATAGAAAAGAATGGGAAGAAGAATTTCCAGGTTGGCTGCAAGATAGTCGTAAGGGCGAAAGCTAAGCCTATTGTAAGAGTTGTAATAAAGAATAAGAAGAAATAATAAAGGATGAACTTAATTTTTTAAAATAATTCGCAATGAAGATCCGGTATACCTCGATTTTGTGACTCAATAGAACACAGCATTTTTGCAAAAGTCATACCTTCTAAACAGAATCGTCCGGAATCAAGGTCAACGGTGATACAGCTTTATAACAATCCTGTTCAATTCAATTCAATATATTGATTGTTTCACGTGGTAACTACAAATTCTTAAGATTTATTCTAAGATCTAAAGGGCATTACAATATCAATATACAAAAAGAATTTACATATCTTTAATCAATTACAGTAAAATTTTAGATTACAAGTGAGCTACCTATCATCAAGCTCTTGCATACTACAGAAGGTTTTATTGAATAAATATTGTTTTAAAATTTGTGCAAACTTTTTACGTTTTGTTCTACGGTTTTATAGTTAGGTAATTTATTATTAATTTTAATTGCGTTTATTCGTGGATCGGAACTATGTATTTTAAGACTTGATGAGGATAAGGCTAAATTATCTTTGTATAGATGTTCTAGAAATAGATGTTCAAGAATAGTCCTGTTTTTGGGAAAATAATGGAGGATTTTGTTTAACATACTTACAAATTTCGAATATATAGAGTGTAGTGAGAATTTGGATTTTTAGTTCAGCAAGTTCTATAAAAGTATTCATTTGACATTGTGGGTTACCTACAAGAATATATTTGCGGCCTAAGAAATGCTAGACAAAGTTCGACGGCCATCAGGGTCGCGATAGCACAGTGGTCAGTGCATTCGCCCAGATAACTAAGAGTTCGAGTCCCATCTGCTGCCTGGTCTGCGTGGAATTTTTCTATTAAAATTTTCTTTTTAAAGAAAATTTCACTGTAAAAATACATAATTAGATTGTGATCATGAAGCCAGTTTTTTTTTATTTATAATTACATTTAGATTTTTATATACTTCTTTTATGTTTGTGCTTGAAAATACTAGTGATACGTCATCAGCAAATAATACACATTTGTGGTAAAAGGTTTTTTGGAAGATCGTTAATATAGATTAAAAACAGGATACAACCTAGTACGTTTACATGAGGAATGGACATTTTTACTTCAGCTTTGTTTGATCGCACATTTGTAATATTCTTTTTGTATTGTGACCTGTTTTCTAAGTAGGATACAAACCACCTGTAAGCAACAGCTCTTACGTCAATGCTATACAGTTTTTTAGAAGTATTTTATGGGAGACCCGATCGTAGGCTTTGCTCAAGTCGAATAAAACCCCCACAGCATATTTTTGAAGTTATACTTCTTTAGGCGCGTTATGAAAAAACGATGAGAGTGAAATTTTAAGATGTGCGCGCATCACTGTAACACACAAAAGTAACAGCATGAAGTTGGTCGCTAAAGCGACCAACTTCATGCTGATTACTTTTGTGTTTACCGCACATTAAGAAAATCTACCAACAAAATAGAAATAGAATCTCTATTTAGTGGGTGCTAACGACTGCTTTGTGAAGGCCTATCAAAAATATTTATTAATCTGGAACAACGGAACCAAAGCGCGATTCAGGAGACTACAGCGCCATCTCTTGACCATTGGTGTAGTAGAACCAAAAACCACATCTTTATTTTTTGTAATAAAGTAACAGTTATAGGTATTCATATTTATCCACATGTTTCTAGTTTGTATATTCGGAATACTTGTTTGAGTTTCATACAAGTGCAAATCACATATGTTCTAATAAATTATATTCAGTAGCGATTTTAATTGAATATTTTGATTATTTATTTATTTTTTCAAATTAAAACTGAACTTTATTGACTGTGTCCTTTTCCAGACTTTTTATTAATTTCTTGTAATTAATTATTTGCATGCAATTAAAAACTAATTTTAAACGATGCCAAAGAAGGATAACTTCTCACGCGCCTACATAAGTACACGCACTCATTTTTTTTTTATTTATGATTCTTCATTGCTGTCAGTCTGTAGTTAGTTTTATCTATGATATCTCCTTTTTTGTGTATGGGTTTTATTGGGGATATATTTAAATCGTCAGAAAAAGTTCCTTCCTCAAAAGATTGATTTATTTATGTCGTTAATGTAAAAACTATTTCACCAATACATTGTTTGATTAAGATAGGTGAGATCTTTATCTATGCCAAGGGTTTTTTCATTTTTTAGGTTACTAATAATTTTGTATGTTTCATGTAGCTGAAAGGGATAAAGATAAGTAAAACTCGCCATAGATAGATAGTTAATTGCTGGTCGGCCAGAGGGATCTATGATTATGTTACCAGAAGCCATTTCTTTCCCTACAGTAACAAAGTATTAATTAAACTCTACTCGAGTGCAATAATGTTAGGGTCTTCTATGTTTGTACCATTAATAGTAATTTGAATGTATTTTTCATTTTCTTTGTTAATTTGTTCGTATATTTTTCAACTATCTCCCACATAGTTTTATTGACATTTGTTGAGTATTTGCTTTTTTTAATATTTATTATTTTTTTTAAGAGAAGAATTTAAAATTTTTAAAGGCATTTATGTTTGCAAGATCTCTTCATTCTTATAGTTTTTGTTGATATTATTATAAGAAAAATTAATAAGATAAAAATTAATTAAAAAAAAATGTTACTAACATATAGGAGACCATGTCTAGAAATAAAAACATTTTATTTTATTTTTATTTTTTTTTATTATTTCCTGTTAAAATTTTATTCCAGTTGATTTCTATTGGCTTTTTTTTTAAATTGGAGTATAATTTCTTCATTAGGTATTTTTTTTAATTGAGTATTATTTTCCTATATACCAGATTTTCCTCTTATTAGGTTGTTTTTTTTAATCCAATATCAAGGTCGCTGCTTTTTGGTTAGATAAACCTATGTCTTTTACAGCAGAGGTTATATTGTCTTTAAAATTTGTAAACTATAAATCTAGGCGAGTTGATGTTTTTGTGGTTTTTCTAGTGGCTTCTGTGATTTATTACTAAAAATGTTCACTGTTATATAGATTCAATAATGTTTCTGATATAATATTTGTTTCCAAATATTTATATTAAAATCACCACCAAAAATTGTTATATGTTTATTACATATAATGCAAAAGCTTTTTGAGAGATTCAAAGAAGATATCTGGTCTTCTACTTTTAGGCTAGTATAGAATAATAACAATTATATAAAGTTTTAGCAATTCTAAGGCACATATTTTAAATATAAATTCAGTGGTAAGTGATAAAATATCCTTTCTTTCAACAAATTCAATGTCTTCTTCGAGGAGTATGCACACACCACAGCCATCGTGGTATTTTCTATAAAATGATGAAGCTATTTCAAAGCCGTCCAATCGTAGTAAATCTCGTTTTTTATTTGTTATCCATGTCTCAGTCAAACATAGCATTTTATTACGATCTTGTGTAATTTGCTCTATTAGGTGAATTTTATTAATTACACTTCTGATGTTTTGGCATGAAAATTGGAGTTTTATGTGTCGTGGTGGAGA